TTACGCTATTGTGTTTCTAACGTTCGGATTCGAGAATCTTGATGTTTTTTGGTAGGAATAGATACCGCTCAAGGTTATTTTCGGTACATTCACCTCTTGCCAGAGGAATCGGTAGCATAAGCTACCATTGTGCAGTAGGGTTACCGGCGACGAGATATTTCAGCAGTCTGTGTAACTTTAGGTCGAGATATTCACTGTTTCAATCAGTCCATAATTATTTCACGTCAGGTGAGTAATCAATAAACATTTATGCATCATTTTGATAGGTCATTATCAAATTCAAATGGTTCTAACTTGTTAAAAACTGAGAATTCTTACTCTTCAAACACCTAACCTCAAAAATTCACAACTTCTTATTTCATCCTGAAAAATAAAACATTCAACTTTTTGAAATACTTGATAGTTCTGAAATAATAAGAGACATTTTCAAACATGTTGAGGTAGTCATTTTTGGATATTTTCATTGCGCTAGGAAAATATTGGCAATTTTCAATAAAAAATCATAAAACTTCGTATTGCGTTTTCAGAATGGCAAGAAATAAATCACTTACAGATGAGGACTTGCAGCAAATGGTAGACAATATGAGTGATTTGGAATATTGCGATTCGGATTTCGGTGTCGATGGTGATGCTGATGAATATCTACCATATGAAACTATATCATCGCGAACATTGCTATTTTCAACTGCGGTATCTGATTCACAACCAGACCCTTCTGGTACTACGTCAAGAGCGGGATTGAGAAAAAATTTTCCTCTGAGTCCTCAATCGAATACAGGTGATGATCAGTTTGATGACTCCGATGCTGATCCAGATTTTGATCCAGATGATCCACCAAATAAACTCTAATAATAAATAAGGTACCATGTCCAGAAGCAATTGCTGATTATAATCGCTATATAGGTGCAGTGGATCTTTTTGCTCAATATCATGCAAATTATTCCATCACCTGGAAGTCCAGAAGTTGGTGGATCAAAATGTTTTATTATCTAGTAGATGCAGCAATTGTTAATAGCTATACCATTTATAAAGAGACTCTGCAGAATGAAAAACTCTAGCGCAAAACCTCTGACGGCATTGCAATTCTGAAGTGAACTAGCAGATCAATTGATTGGGAAATACACCATCAACAAATGCAGTATCAGATAATAGATCTCATCTCCCAGTCAAGGAAACCCACCGTCGTTGTGTTCTGTGCAGGTCTGAGAAAAAAAAGCAAACACGTAGAATTTGCCAAGTTTGCGATATTGCCTTGTGTAAGGATTGTTCCACACCATACCATACAAAATAATTTCGAAATGAATATTTGTGATTGAACTTAGCATTAGATTTTGTAATAAAAGTGATAATTTTGGCCATTTAGTATTTTTTTTGTATTTGCTATCATTTGGTAGCTATAACTACCAAAGCTCGCTAGTTGATGATAGTTGACGCAAATGGTCAGTGGTATGTTGAGCTACCACCAGTTACTGTCAAAACGACAGCTCATAATTTTTTTTGAATATTTTTCTACTATTTTTGAAAACATATCTAATTATAATCTGTAATAAAAAACGGAAATTACAGAAAAAAATAGTTCTGGGCGTTAAAGGGAACACTAGATGATTATTTGTCTGAGCTCGATGACATTCCACTGAAAGAAATACAAAATTGTCTCACTGTGAGATACGCCCCTGTTAACTGTCGTCGGTGAATAATTAGTGGCACGCGTCTGATTTATTACTGGAATGTTTCATGTTAAGGATGAAAGAAAGCGCAAAACCATCTTCATGACAATTTAACAATGCTTGTTTGAATAAAGAAGAACCAGACCCAAATGAAGTCCATCGTCAGCCCATGCATTATAACGAGATTCTGCTATGGGAAGCAACTACTGGATACAAAAAAAGTTAAATTGTTATGAGTATGTTACATGTGATTAGAAAAAATAGTGGACATGAAATTCACATAGGTACTCTTCAATCAAATATATCTCATAGTTGATTAGTGAAAAATGTGAAGAACCAAATGTTTTCTGATGAATGGAATAATAACGCTTTTAACGTAAAAAGGTCCGTTTCTCAAAGCACTTAAATTGTGATAGAAAGGTTATTCATTGAAATATAAACTGGTCAACATTGATAACGTCGTGGTCCAAAATATAGCCTGAATTCAAGGTAGAATAACTCACGAATTTTCTTACCAATTTGAAATCGGTTTTCATCGGTGAAAGGAAATTCGTGAGTTATTTTACTTTGAATTCATGCTATATTATGGACCACGACGTTATCAGTGTTGACCAGTTTAGTTGAAAAATGGAATGTGAGCAAAATAATGTAGCCCTTGAAGAGTGTTAATGTCTTTTCATAGTTGAACGGTACTTATTAGTATTCCCCAAACAGATGAAATCCAAGGAATATTACCGTCTTCTCCACCACCACTTATAAAATACCATCTCTGTCATACACTCATGTCTTGTCATGATTTATCGCTCTTACCGTTGAGTTCCGATGAATTGACACAAATTCATTATCAAAACTAGTTACTTCAGTCCTGGAAACCTTTGAGTGGTGATAGTGTTGGCCTGTAGGCAAAAAGCTCTTGAACTTTTTATATACTTTGTGATGCAATTTGAATTCGAAAAAATTAAGTGACCGATAGATATTCCCGAAGTATTGAAGACATACTATTTCATACACCTCCAAATTAATAATCAATTTACAATAATTTGAACCGTATCAGAACTTTTCAGTGTTTCATGATATCTAGGAGTGTTTCTTTGCTTCTAGTTTAGATGGCGTCATTCCCGTGTGGCCAACCTATGCCCACGGGAGATTCCTCAGAGACCATGAATATTGTCGACTGGATTTTGTTGGGTCAGGTTACACTTATAGCCAGCGCTCTTCGGTCTGCTAGCTGAAGACAACCCTACATTGATAAGAGCCAAAAAAGCTCGGAACCGGTCTATTGATGTCATTAATTGCGTTAACCTGGCTGAATCGAAATCAATCGGCATTAGGAGAAGAAACACTTGCATTAGTATTTTTTATACTTACTCATCGATGCATAGATTTTGGGAAAATGTTATTCAATGTTCTGCGTGGCATCAGCTAGGAAAGGAGTTGTTTTACCCCCGTCATTTACCATTGTTCATTTCATGAACATTTGTGGAAATGACTTCGAGTTTTTCTGTATTCATCTGAAAATCTAAGGTGGAGTTTGCTGCGAACATCTCTGCAGAATGTTTGCTTTTCTTCGCAATGTGACTGCTATAGCAAGGGACCGAAACGAACGGGAACCACTGTCTCAATCTATGAGTTTCGATCTTATATTCGCATTGTATGATTCTTTTGATGCATTTATTGTGTGGCTGCAGTTATTCCTGCCTTCAACATATTCTGCACTAGTCACGTGAATAGGGTTTTTGTGCCAGCGATGATAGGCTGTTTGTTTCAAGTCTACAGCTCTAGAATAGTTCTTATTGAACCAGGGTTCAGAAAATGATGATCGTTTCAAAGAATGAGGTGTGTAAATGTCGATTCCAAGCGTGATGATTTTGGATATTTCCGCAGGAAGGATCCTCAGAATCAAAGCATATTCTATGACAAGGAAACTCCAAGGAAAACATGCGGAGATCGCCCCAGTCTCCTGAGTTATAGTGTAATACAAGACGTGGAGGTTCTGGAGCAGTTGATGATATTGAAAATGGGCAGGTTGTGGAGATACGTGTGTGACCAGGTTGCCAACTGAAGCTAGTAGTACATCTATGGTGTGAGGTGCTGAATTATCAGTGAGAGATAAGTCGAGTATGTTGGCTGAATGGTTTTTGACATCGGGAATTCATATGGGTTCCTTGATGGGCTGCTTCAAACCGTGAGTGATGGCGGGAGCTTTGGCTTGTCGCCCAGCTTCATCCGTTTTGTTGAAGTGTATGGGCCAAGCAGTGTCGTATTCATTGAAATTGCCCATGATGACGATTTCTACTGCTGGATGGTTCTGCTGAATGAGGTCCAGCTTCAGGGACAAGAACTCGAATAGCACTCCATAGGATGGATCATTGGGTGATGAGTAGAAAAAACAAAGATATTTGGTCTGTTCTGGCTATCGAGTCTGAACATCATAACATCAAACTTATTTGGTTCCAAAGTTTTTTCTCGAAGACATGAGATATTTTTTTTCGGAATAGAGGCAGATACCTACCTTGAATCTGAATCGTGTGTGGAGCTCGTACCCAGGACAAAGCATGTAGGTCGTATTGATGTATGGATCGACCAGTATCCAAGTCAGGGCCGATATATCTGGTTTTTTAGTTTGAAGGTGTCGATGGACATCGTTGATGTTTCTACTTAGACCACGGATGTTGCAGCAGGAATGCAATACCGCCAGGCAGTGGCCATTCTTATTGCGGAATATTGCAAGCCAAGCATTAATTTTGGTTGAAAATGGAACAGTCATGGAAATAATTCATAAATTCATTCACAATTTTAACATCATATCCAGTCATCGATTGCTGGCTTTCAAAGTGGCACTATGCCACATTGGTGGTGTAACATCTCCGGAACTGTTTTTTACTGCCCCATACATAATGTATGTACCATAAACCATTATCTTGTTTCTTTGATTAGATAAATTGTTCATTGTACTTGTGAAAAACAATTGGCTTCATTTCGGAATGAATGTGGTTGGCTGATTAAATATTGGAAATCCCCTTTGCCAAATAGCCAAGTCAAAAGTACTCTTGAGATGACATATGAGGTGAAAGCAAGTTCTGAGTCTCAACATATGGTTAAAGCCCACCTATGTTCCGACACGTGGTGAAGGCTCACCTGAGTTGCGACTACAACAATAATAATTTCCGAATTTCCGTTTGCCGAATTGTTTCTTATATTTTTGATCGTTTCTTCAGTAGGACTTTTCCTAAAGCGATAAGAAACTTGCATTCTTTTTTTTAACGATGTCAAAATGACATCGTCAAATGCCGTGTTCTGTGGAGGAGTTGATATATCATCGTGATACTTTACCTTGCTTCTCCCTGCCAACCTCTGGCCTCAGAATCATGTTGTTGCCGTCTTCTCTCCTCCACAACACCGTCGGGTCCGGAATGCCCGTAGCCTTGCACCGGAGCCGGACGGTTCCTCCTTCGACTGCCATACCGGCGCCGTCTGATGATTCGTTGTCTTCCAGAATGTCCGGAGGTATGACTACTTCTAAATTGCCCATCTGGAAACAAACGTTCACTATTCAGCATGCATTCCCTGTGTGATGTGAATAAAAATGAACTACCTGCTAATACTATATTAGCATTCTCTATACATATTCAATACTTCAAAACTTAGATGAAAATACATTTCGAGGTATATTCTTGTATTCTTTCTGGAAGCTACTGAACCAAGTAGCACTCTCGTGAAAATGACTTAAGTATTTGTTACACTCTGAAGTACCGACTTCTTACAACAGATACTTCGATTCAAGCAGAATGATTACTATTTGGTTCACGTTAGCGAAGTTGGTATAATAGCAGATCCACTGGGCATTCTACGGTTAGTTTTGTTCGTGAAATGGATGGAATACGAAAAAGAAAATTATACAGTGCAAGATGATGATTTTGTGTATCATCAAATATTCCGGTAACTGTGGAATGATGTATAACTTTTGTCGATCGTGGTTTCATTCCATTTTTCTCTTATGTTTTATGTAGCTTACCTAGCTGATGCATTCCTATCAGAAATAAATGAAACTAGGGGTTGTGCGCTTACACACATGAAGCAAATGGGAGTGTTTTCGAGGAGCTTCAGTGTGTTTGAATTAACATTGAATTGAATAGATAAAAATGAAGCACAATTTATAAAATTAGAAGGAAGTAGCTGTACGCATTGTAACGCATAACATTTTGAATTCCATGTTTATTTTTGCATATTGGGGCCAAGAATATGGAAATTCGACGATGACTTAGACTCAAAGCCTTCTACGCATAAGTTGAAGCATATACTACGGACTGAAAGTGAAAACTATCAACAGTGTAGTAAATGCTTCGACGTTGAGCAAATACTACCGGAACCGACTAGATTCTCCGTGATGGATCAAGTACTTCGTAGTAGATTCTTCAATAATAAGTAGTATTAGCCTTTACTTCGTTTTTATTCATATCGCCCATTAACTTCGACGATGAATTTATCTCAAAGCATTCTGCTACGCATGTTTTGAAGCATAAACTACGGACTAGAAGTAGATACTATAAACAGTGTAGTGAATACTTCGACGTTGAGCAAATACTACCGGAACCGACTAGATGCTTCGTGATGGAGTGGATATACTTCGAAGTAGATTCTTCAATTTGTAGCATTACCATTTACTCCGTTTTTATTTATACCAGAGATAGATTCACTTTGTTTATTGATAGTGCTATGGCACGGAGATTACTTCTAAGGGCATCCGTGGAACCGCTGCCAAATAGTCAATTCGAGAGGATTATTCTAATAAAACATCTTATTTATATTGGCATCAACAGCGGATGATAACATGTAATAATTTACCGCTGACAACAGATACTAATGATTATAATCATAAACGTCCATTATGATTATTCTGAGGTACATAACAAAATAGAGAATAGGAATTGGAATCTATTCGAGATGATCGTGCTAGTAGAGCAAAGTTTCCTAAACGAGCAATAATCGTGGTAAGAAATGTATTCTTCGTTTGTGTTGGTGTCAATGGTTTCACAGCATCTCTGTGATTTGTTTGCGTTTTAGTAACTCATATGTGAGAGATTGTGGTTCGGTGTGTGAAATTGGACATTTCACAGGAACGTGAAAATATGCTCCAGTTTTCAGTAGGTGATATTGATATATTTCATGAACCCGTATCAGCAAATAAAAAGCACTGTTCGAATACTCTCAGAACTACAATGATTTGATATCATGATCCAATGTTGATCAGAAGTTACATGAAGTGTCACGAACAAATAGAAGTTTTTCCTGTATGGACATAATGTTGAGTATTCTTGTGAGTTTTTTTTTCTCTATCGAATTTGTGGATATTTTCTCATTTTATAGATGAGCATATATACGACTTTCATTATATATAATGTTGTGATAAACTTTCAGACTGAACATTGATTTTCCTGTTGGGGCTGCCAAAATTCTCAATAAATGAGTACCTAAATCGATAGAAATTCCATTTCTCATTCTCATTATACATTATTCATTGATATTCCGATAAGATATATCAACTATTATCTGGCAATGATTCTAGAGCATTTGGGATTGTAGGTTTTATATTTTTTCGCGATTTATGAAAGTTTCGCAATGTCTGATATTATTCAATTTCGAATTCTGGTTTCTCCTTCTCACAGGAAAGGCGGTGATTTATCGGAATGAATTATGTTCATTATGTGATTGATATATTGATAGAGAGTTTTCACTGACATATACATATTAATAATAATAATAATAATAATAATATTTATTCACCATTTTTCAGACATATTTCACATAATTACATAATTCGAAAAAAGGAGAGAAGAACAAAAGAAACAAAAAACAAGAAAACAAAACACAGTTAACATAATTGCGCACAGAGTATATGTACTCTGATATATAATATTATCATGAAATGTATCGAGTTCCAATCCTGTAGGTTAGGTAAATGAATATTAGCGAAATCCCACAAAGGAAACCTGAGCGTGGGAAAAGCAGATATTGTTTAACCTTATTAATACAGTCAAAACAACGAACACGCACATTACAGCACTTTTATTAACTTCTTCAATAAGAGCGCTGACACTATCCAGAGACGAATGACGTATAGCATTATATAGAGCACTGATGAGCAGTGATAGATAAAAAATATAAAACAAACATAGAAAGATATTACAATAAAAGTGCTAGTACACCTGATAATGATGAAAATATAATAATACCGAAAGTATCACAATAATAATAATAGTAAAAATTACGATAATTACAATAAAAACAACAATGATAATATAAAAACGTGAGGGGCAAGATAAGATAACACAGAGTTAGTTATGATTCGATATATTATTATTTCTCGGTTTGACTCTATTATAAAACAGATCTTGTGATAAATAATTGATCAGCTATTCTTCAAATCAATATGATCATGAATCATCAGTCTCGGGGTTTTTAATATCCAGTTTTTCATTTTGTTTTTGAATATTGGGAATGAATGAAATGTTTTTATATCAGTTGGTACTGTATTATATACTTTAGGGGCAAGATAAACGAAGCTTCTTTGGCCGATAGTTTTCATCATTTTCGGGACCTTCAAAGTATCTTTTACCGCAAGTCTAGTGTTGTGTCCATGTTGTACTAATTCGCAACTCTGCAGGTTTTTCTTTTGATATGATACTAACGCTAGAAAGTGAATTTGTCGAATATTCATCACCTCAGCTTCCTTGAATAAGTCGTTGGTTGGATAAGTGAGGTTCTTATTTAGCATGATTTTCAAAATCCATTTCTGCATTTTTTCAAGTTTTTTCAGATATACATTGGTGACACCCCCCCAAGCAATGATTCCATAAAGTAAATGTGTTTGTATGAGCGAATAATACATGATTTTCAAGTGGCTGAGTTCGAATATTTTTCTGAAGATTTTGAATTTTGAAATGAAATATCGGATTTTTCTAGTTACGTTCTTAACTTGAGAGTCCCATTTTAGGTGATTGTCCAATATTATACCCAAGTATTTAACATTTTCTACACCTTTCAACTGGATGTGTACGTTATTATGCAATAAATCGATACTTGAGTAATCTGGTAAGTTTGTTTCATAACTAGTGAAGGGAAGATAAATAGTTTTTTCCATATTTATGGTGAGTAATTTGTCTCTAAAGAAATCTAACATGATGGGCACCGAATTTTGAATTTTTTGTTTTAGTGTATCCCAGTTTTTATCTTTGAAGAAGATGGCAGTATCATCAGCAAAACTTGTGATTTCGGCTGCTATAGGTAAGTCGAAAAGAGAATTCATGTTTTCATAGAATTGTTTTTTTCTCTCATCTACGCTACATATACACCATTTATAAATACCTAGTATGGACTTCGCTATACAAGTGATTTTTATTTGTAGCTATTTCAGATATATGCGTCTACATCATGAAGACGATAGGCCAAATTTTTCAGCTTTATCATTCGGAAATATCACGCTTCCTTCTTTTCCCTTCCTATTCGCTCAATGAAAACTTATTTCATTGAAGGCTCTGATATTTCCTCGCTCATATAAGTACTATTCGTGAAACAATAGGTGAGTTTTTTTCATATCTGTCCCGTTTTTTCCTGCAACGATTTGCGACGAGCATCGGTAGCTGCTTGTACAACCCCGGGCAGAACGTAAGATAAGCCACTTCCATTATCTTCTCCAGAATTCAATGCTATTCTTTTGATATAATTTTTTTTTCATTTGAAACACCATCGACAGCAACTCAAATGAGTATGCCTATAGCGACATCAATGAATTATATTCATTGTTGTCTCCATAGATGCAAGTCAGAAAACACACTTCAACCGTTATGATGGATGATTTTGCTTTTCGAAACGGAATTCAGGAGAATATCTCAACTTCACGAGAATTGTTATTGAACAAATAATATTGTGTGCTACTTGAACGAAAGTAACCTATTTCTTAGCTCTCTATGCACTTCTAACTGCGTATATCTTATCCAATCGTACCGGATTGATTAAGAAGAGGATACTTCAAACTTCATATTACTATAGTGAATATAAATCCCCATAACGATGGAGATTTATCTAGGATGGTAACTATGGTTATAAACTCAAGATCAACTCCGCCTTTTGTCGTGCTATTCCAGAGGCGAACTAGGGGGCCGGGCGGTCAGGCGATTGCCCGATGGGCCAGTGCCATTCGGGGCCGGTCGAAATTATGAATAATTGAAAAAATATTCAGAGTTAATCCAAAGAACACCGAAAAAATCCAAGAAGTGATACCTTGTAATATTTCAGGAATGGAGTTCAAATGAACATGTGGCCTAACTTGCTTCGTTTTCGAGATACAGGGTATTATTATTTCCGGAAGATCGTTTTTTCTATTCATTACTTAATTGTCTTTTCATCTAGGGGGCCAGGCGGTCAGGCGATTGCCTGATGGGCCAGTGCCATTTGGGGCCGGTCGAAATGATGAATGATTGAAAAAATATTCAGAGTTAATCCAAAGAACACCGAAAAAATCCAAGAAGTGATACCTTGTTATATTTCAGGAACGAAGTTCAAATGAACATGTGTCCTAACTTGCTTCGTTTTCGAGATACAGGGTATTAATATTTCCGGAAGATCGTTTTTTTTTCATTCACAACTCAATTGTCTTTTCATCAATTTCAATGAAACGTTCAGGTACTTTTATTGATAGTAGTATGGAACTTTTTCTGGTGCAATCAGATTCCAAATAATATTTCCAGTGGCGTCACAGTGGATGAATTTATCGATATTTATGGTAAGTGCCATTGTACGCCACCCGTTTTTCTGAGTTTTATATTTTTATTGAATTGAACGATTTTAATAAGAACATTTTTATTGCCAGTGTGATTTTTGTATCTAGCTTAGTTTATGAGGAAACAATAAAAATCAGATTTGACTCCAAATTCAATGTAGGTGTTTTCAAGACTTTCATTGAGATTACTCAATGACCCCAATCATAATTACTTTGAAATTCCGGGGCTTTTTCAGTCTCCAACCATACTGAATTTTGACACCATGGAAGCTCATACACGGGGGTTGAAAATATAAGCAATTGATACTTCCAACTTCAACATCCTGTATCTCAAAAACGGAGCAAGTGAGAACACATGTTTATATAAATTTTCTTTGCTAGAATATCACAAGGAATCACACCTCGAATTTTTTCGGCGTCATTTAGATACACCCTGTATTCATACATATTGTAGATGAAGGTATACATCGAACGTTCTGAACAAAGCAAAGAGAAACATTATTTGTGCATGTAAATCCTAGAAGAACACGATTCAAGCCCATCTCTGCCCGTGCACTGTCGGCACTATACGGGATGATACTTCGTAAAGTGGCCCGCGATACGATATCATTTTTGATCTTAATGAAAAATATGGATCCTTGAGAGATTTACCAATTTTTCTATTTCAATTCTGATGCACCTCTCAAATTTTATTTCTTGTTTTGGATAAATTGTTTTCCTAGTAATTTTGTAGCTTTGATATTATCCACCAGTTGTTTTTCTACAAATGTCAGAAAATGACAAGGCTCGCGCATTGATAACAATTTGCGAAGTGACACTTTTCACTTCTCTACATTACCACGACACCATATGGGAAGCACTGCACGAAGTGAAAAGATTGTATGCAAACTATATGAGATTTTTTTAATTGAATGAATGAACTACGGAATAGCTTAAATGCTTAAAGTGGAATTGAATGTTGAATAAATACAAAAATCTCAAAGTCATTTCCACACAATGTTCATAAAATGAACAACAATGGTAGATTTCGGAAGAAAAGCAACTACTTTCCTGGCTAAATCCACGCAGAACATCAAATTACATCCTCCCGAAATCTATGCATCGACTCATATAAAAAATAATACTGATTCGAATGATTCTTTTCTGGATGCCTATTGATTTCAATCTAGATCACGCTAGACACCTACAGACCGGTTTCAAGTTCTTTGACTCTCATCAGTGGAGGGTAGTCTCCAGCCAGCAGTCCTACGACCGCCGACTGAGCGTAGCCTAGCCAAACAAGAATCGGCATTATATTCACTCCATAGACAATATGAGAGCAACGCCATCTGAGTAGAGAGGATGGAAAGAAACACTCTGGAGCCGAAATTCCCATATGGGAGTGGCTGGTTGCCCAACTCGCGTAATTTCAACTACGAAAAAGCCACAATGCTCAAAGTGGAATGAAATGTAAAATGAATACAAGGAACTCAAAGTAATTTCCACACAAAGTTCATAAAATGAACAATAATGGTAGATTTCGGAAGGAAAACGAATACTTTCCTAGCTAATGCCACGCAGAACATTGAATTACATCCTCCCGAATTATATGCATCGTTAAAGAACTCGAAACTGGTCTGTAGGTGTCTAGCGTGGACTGGCTGAATCGAAATCAATAGGCATTCAGGAAAGAATCAATTGTATCAGTATTCGTTTACACGAGTCGATGCAAAGATTTTGGGAGGATGTAATTCAATGTTCTGCGTGGCATCAGCCAGGAAAGCTGTTGTTTTTCTTCGGAAATCTACCGTTGTTGTTCATTTCATGAACATTGTGTGGAAATGACTTCGAGCTTTTTGTATCTATTTGAACATCGAAGAAATCATTTATTTTAGAATATTTAACTATAATTAAGGATATTGAAGCCACTTCAACACTATTTTTTTTTTCAAATCTATAAAGCATATTACTACTTGAGAATTATATTTTTTGACATTTGTAGAAAAAATTTTGTTTGCAACTAGTGCAAGAAAAACTTTGGTGATCGAGAACTGTTGTTTTCATCGAGGCGTAGCAGGGTTGAAAAAACATTCGAACACTTGATACAAATCTAACTTTAATTCATTTCTCGTCGATATATATATATCTTATGTCTTATCGACAACTTTTTGGCTTGAGTCTTGATAAAATAAAAACTATTCATAAAAAGTTTTTTCCGTTGTTACTAAAATATGTAATGAGATTATATGAATAGCTATAATAGCTTTGAAACTCTCTCTGGGCCGGCATAGGGTTCAATTCGCCTGGGCCGAATCAAAGGTCCAGTCCGCCCCTGTGCTATTCTTGTGTTGCTTCCACTACCTATGCAGAATGATCAACTTTCAATGACCTATAAAGGCTGATGCGCAATCCAAGTGATCAATGTTTTCATCACTATTATTGAACAAATATTAATAATATATAATATCCTTTTTGAATTCCAATGCATACGCTGCAATATACAAATCAATTAATTGATGGTGATAGAAGACAGAAGTGTTGAATTGATTTTTGTTCAAATGCCGCCAATTGTCCATGTCATTCTATATCTTGGTAATGGACATTGATTTGGATCGAGATGATGCTTTAAATAAATGCATTCGTTGATAAAATTACATATAAATCATGGAAGCAAAGGTTTATATCCTCCCACGTGTGTTTAATGCCTTCCGCTACGCGTCGTGCATCAAACCTCACACGCATGAGAAAATGGATACCTACCTTTCCTCCCTTTGAAATATAAATAGCTATTATTCCTTCCGATGATCATAATATTATGGTCTATAAAACTGTTCGTTATTTGGATATGAGGTGTTGAAGTTACAATGATTGACGACGATCTTAAATGATTCATTATTGTCGGTAGATATACATCTCTGATTTTGTAGGTACACTCAAGTGATTGGTATGGATTGATCATATATGTTATAACACTTCGATCGACATAGTGGTACACATTTTCAGTACTGTTGATAACCAATTCGATATAACTTTTTTTATCTCTTGTTCAGTTCGATACTGGCCAGATTTGAATCATTTCTTCAATGGTAAATTTAGTACCTACCTCAATTTTTGCTCGCATGATTGATTTTGATAATGCATTTGGTGTGCGAAATATATAATGAGATTCAGTTTGTTGCAATTCAAAATGAATATTTCATGCCGTTTGGTATCATACACTTATTGCAAATTTATATAACTCTTTTTGTTATTGAAGATCAAATACAATCAATTATGTTTAGTATTTGAGAAAAATTATTGCCATAAATTTTAAACTTACTGCTATGAACAATTCTCGTTCAAATACAATTCCATCAAAAATCCTGCCTGAGGTAGTATTCTCTTGAACTCAAAATCCCCATAAGTTCTTCCTATCCTATCCTATATATGCACGGAGTTCTTAGAAAATTATTGGGATTCCCTTTCATGCGCTCCAAGCGATAAAAAAAATTCAGTAGGTCAAATATCAAGTATTGAATGTAAGGTCAAAAAATGAAACTCTATTCATTTTTTCATCACAGTACTGAAAATGTGTTAGGACAAGCTATAATCATGCATACTGATCACCTTAGAGTGCAAATAGAAAATTTCAACGATATCGGAATATTTCCGATTTTCGTTGAACTAATGTAAACTCGACGCCCTATGATTCAGTGAAAAACCTTTATAGAGCATATGTTAGATGGTTAGATGGACATAATAGTATTTCATCAATTTCCATCAATTCCTGGAATATCAATCATTATTGAAATTTGATTTCCCCGTATACTGCAAAATGAGTCATAAAATAACGTGCAGGCTCTATTCTCCATGTCGTATTTGGTATTTCTATAATCATGTCGTACCACTACTGGTATCTCTATCTCTTCAATATATACGTGTTGGTTTATTCACAAATTGCATATTTCAGGTGCTAATAAGTTTCGAAAATTTGTGATATTTCCGATCATTATTAATATGTCTCCCAAATACGTAATTCAACCGACCATAGGAATATTCTCAGTGTAGGTACAGGGTATCTTGAAGCGCATGGAAAATATTTCAGGGATTGATGAAGGAGGAAAATATGTTCATAACTGTTTGTTCCAAAAGTGACCATTCAAGTGATATTTATTTTACACACTACAAAACATCATCACCCACAAACTGTAACATTTCAAACATAGATTTATCAGATGCCAATAATGATATAGTTCAACATAAAAACTACCCTGTAATACAGTCCTCAGATTGGTGAAACAACCCTCGTGGAAAAAAATGTATACCATTTTGTATTCGACTAGGAAATTATTCATAATATTATTTCAGTTTAGGAAAAACGAAGATGGAAAACAATTTTAAGAAAAACTGTTTTTAGTATTGCAAAGTTGATTTTATGTCACAAATGCAACAAAATATCATCAAGAAAAGTTGTTGAGAATCAACATCTCTCGGAATAAAATCTAAATCCTCAACCAACTATATTCAAGCATAGTTGACAAGTTCTGCATTTCGAACAAAAATCAAAATTTCTCAAATTTCATCATTTGCCAATCATTGACCACATTGGACCTGGCCAGTAGTCTTTTGGCCACTCAGTATATTATTGATGATGTAGCCCATTTGGAATGAGGGTTGGTATAGGGTGAATAAATGTTCTTTTATATCATTTACCTGACTTCGCATAGGGTCGGTGTTTATCTGACACATATACGTGCCCGAATCGTTCTTTTGTACGTTACATACGTGCAGTTTCCACGTGTTGTGTCCATTGTGTGTTACAGAAAGACGAGGATTCTGAGCAACCATATGATTGTGTATGGCCAAAATAGCTTTCGTGTCAGACTTTATCCAGGCAACCTGAAATTAAAAAGAAAAATGGCATTTGTAAGAAGTAAATGGTACAATAAACACATCAGGAAATGAGACTAACAATTGCTCTGTATGTCGTGTAATTGTTACTCATATTATTCGTAATGCGATATACTAGGTGGCGCACTCAAACTGTCAATAATCCCCAGAAAACGATTCGTCAAAAAATATATCGATTTACGTGAAAAAATACTCCCCATCTCCAAAGCAATCACAACTACACCAAGAAAAATTCAATTATACAATTGTCGATTGAAAAAATCTTATAACTGATGCTCATTGAAACATTCTAAACATGAAATGTCTGATGAACGTGGAAAGTTAACGTTTTCAACATGGAACAGATTTTCCTTTCAAAGCACACTGTTTGTTATCAAAATGATACCGTGTAGATTTGAAGACAAGATCATAGTCGAAAAATGGAAATTGAATAAGCAATATGTAACCCATGTAATATGTCATTTCAGAGTTGTACAGTAGATACATTGTTCTCCTTGAACATATAATATTTTGATATGGAAATATAACCGTTTTAATGATTCAACTCACTCACTCATAAACACTACATAGTTCAGTCAATCGTCAGTCGTATTCTATTCCTTGATATGTTTGGAACATCGTGCGTTATAGTGTTTTCACGATATATCTTCGAAAACCACAAGAATTATTGTCAACAATGCATCAAAAAGGAAAGTTTGCAGTGAAATTCGTTCAATCAAACTCTCATTCACTAACACCACTCTGTACATTTCTGCATCTATGTTAAGGTTCTCAACCTACTCAATTCATCTGAAAAAAATGCGGGACAGTCTTTGTGGACTGTCAATAAAGAAGTGAAAACTAAGTATCAGTGAATTAATTGTATGGTAGACCTATTAGACTATTATTTCTCAATTATTTTTGGTTCATTAGGGAGTGTTAATGACCAATTCAAACTTCAATCCTTCAGGCACCATCAGCGATGAACAGTTTTCTCCACGTGTTTACTTTTTTTACCCTTCTTATCTGAATAATCTCCAATATAATTGTTGACACTCCACATTGATGAGTTAATTTTATGGCACAACATCCGCGCCTATTCAAATTGAAGGAATCAAAGGAAATTGCGTTATATTGTTCTGGCGTGTACACTGTCCTGCAAAAGTATGGAGAATTATATGGTTCGGGACAATATTTGTAGCTATTCAAATTGAATATAATGAGCCTTATATAAGGTAGAACTATGAATTATACTATATCGAAATGCTAATTATTCATTTAATATATGAGCATTATTTCATTCTCATATGAGAAGATGAACTTGATTATAATGAGCAGGGTGCTATACTGGCACCAATTCAATCCAGAAATATTTTATAGGTTATACAATCTTCAATAACAGATAATAATAGATATTTCTCTTGGTGTGAGTGGAGCTGAAACAATTTTGACATCACTATCTTCACAATGATGTATGATGTAGACTCCAGAGAATTGGAGAATGAAGTAGTTTATGTTCCTCCTATCAACAAACACCATCGTGTCTTGAGGATTCACATGAGAAAAAATGATTTTTCAGAAAGTAATTCCGGATTGTCCCGGATGAATCACGTTCTGATCAATGAAAATGTTTTTGATCCTCGTGTTCTTTGTCATAGATAATTATTTTCCATAAATGGAAAATCATCTCGATATATTCGATGTCTACCTTCATTTATGTTGTCCAATAATAACAAACATACTCGAGGAAAAAAAAAATATATATATATAAGATAAACTTCGATCATCGATTCTTCATTAGAGCCGCTCTATTTTTCCTAAGCCTATAATTATCGGGCCTTCCAGGCTCCCTCACGACTGCTCAAAAGAACAACTCTAAATTACATCCTTGAGATTTTCATTCCACCTATATTTCTGTTTGCTATTCGACTTTCGATTGAAATAGAATAAGCTCCTTGGCAAATACGGAATCTTGGATTATATGAATTTTCTTTCTTATATTTGTATATTCTTCTGAGATGGCATTTGAATCGAAATTGCCCTGTTCTTGCTTTATAATCATATATCGTTAAGTGTTTGTGCTCTATAATATCAACCAATTCGTCGATGAATATCAGCGATACGGGTGTTCGTAAGTTATGTACCGGGTGTCCCAGTATACCGGGTGTCCCAGTATACCTGTTCCGATGAATTATCTCAGCCATTTCCGAAAATAAAAATTCGAAAATTTCATCTCCAATTCGTTCAAGGAAGCTTCAACTGAGAAAGACAAAAATTGATGGACACTTCCGGTTTCTATTTCAAATTTGATTTGATGGAGAAAACAACAATTGAAATTTCGATTGACCGAATTGCAGTAGGCTACGATAATTTTGTAATCTTGATTTTGAATTCAATAATAATTTCAAATCATTGAAATTGTAGTAGATCATGTAATTTTCAAATTTTCATCTTTCGAAATGGCTGAGATAATCTATTGCAACTGTACAGGTATACTGGGACACCCGGTATATTGTTAATTAATTTGCACAATCATCCCAATCTATGAGAAAATGATCTTCAACACTATACAATACAACTTCAACAGGAGTTTGCTTCACAGATTTTCTAAAATGTTCAGGTGAGATATATACCGGGTGTCCCAGTATACCTGTTCCAATAGATTATCTCAGCCATATCGAAAGATAAAAATTTGAAAATTACATGATCTACTACAATTCTGATACATCGTTGAAACGGTTATTTTGGGTAGAAATCGAAAATTGCAAAAAATATACAGGGTGCTATTCAGAATAAAAGAGTGAGAGACACTTCCAACCAGAAGTGGCTTTCAATTTATGTTCTCCTTAGTTGAAGCTTCCTTGAATGAATTGGAGATCATGAAATTTTCGAATTTTTATTTTCCAAAATGATTGAGATAACTCATTGGAGCAGGTATACTGGGACACCCCCGGTATAATATAAACTATGAATGCTTTGACTTCATGACTCCCATGATAAGTAATCGTGATCAATAAATTAAAAGAATTTTCATGGGATTCGAGCTTCAATATGAATGCTGAAATACAGTGTACATAGTTTAATTTTTTAGGCTCTAGGCATATGAAAATGCCTTTGACATGATTGCAGGTGCGGCGGGATAAACCATACCTGGTTGGTATGTGCTACATTTTTGAGGGTATTTGACAAATTGATATTTTGGATTAATTTTTATACACTCGCATAAAAGGAAAATCAAAATGAAATAAAATAAATGTCCATACGATTTTTTTATGCAAGTCGACCTGCCTAATGAAATAAGATAGGTAATATTTATGTTGAATTGTCGAAATCGAATTCATAGAGTTTCATAAGAAAGAATGCATGAGAGAATGACTCGTCAAAGATTTCATGAATATTTTCATGTAGGGAGGTGTAGCGAGCAGTTACTTGCATTTTCTAGATGTCACTCAAAAAAATTTCTTGAAGATATGCTTCAATAAATGTCGAACTTATCCATCAGACTTGCTGTTTTCCGAAAATAGGAATTCTTGATCTATGGCAAATTTACTTTCTACGTGTAGCAATTGATCAATTCAAAAGCAACCGCCGTCTAAGGCAAATCGATCATTGTTATGATTCTAGAGCAAAGAAAGATATCATGATGCGCACTGGGTATCCAAAAAAATCTATTGGTCAAATAAGAGATACCCATTTGAGCATAAGAATATCCAACAGCCTTCCTAAAAAAATAGATGAAGCAATACTTCTACAGTTGCATTCAAGAATCACAGGAAAAAATATCGCCACCCGAAAAAAAAAAGAATTGATATTCACAAACTCATTGATCCTAATAATATATAGTTTCTTTTAGTTGATTATTATCGTAAGAAGTTTCACATCAGTGTCTATAGCATGTAATTTATCCAATACAATAATTTTGTCATAGAGGGTTAATTCTTTTATTATATGTTTATGTTGATTTTATCAATTCAAAAATTGTATTCATGCACTTCAAAGGAAGATGTATAAGATGTGCTATGTATTTACATTTCATCCACGCGCTGGCATAGCCTTAGTGGAACATTTGTTTATTCATATTTATATTTTATAGGTTTTTGGCGGAAGTAGTTATCTAGATACATTCAATTTCTGTCGATTTCTCTTGAACTTCCAGTGTAAAATATTACCTATTGGCGAATAAACATTATTATTATTATTATTATATAAAGTTCATCTGTTTAACTTGATTTTTATTACAAGGCATACATCAGGTTGATTGATTGAGAGCCATCATCTGCTTGTCCCATGCAAAACTTTGGGACCAACCTAGATAACAAAATCAAACTACGTATCTATATCAAGATAATTACTGGTACTGAAACATCAGTCACATGATTCAAAGGTTGAACACAAGAAGAGAAAATGGAATTATTGGCATGATTCGCTATTCTATTTACGGACTTTCTACAAGATTGGTCTCGAATCTAAGAATGCTAAGGCACTGTAATCGACAATGCAATAAAAAATTATATCAATTATGTTGCTTTCAGAAAAGGGCCGTGGATCCAACAAAACAAAACACCACCCGAACCCACAGAACAAAATCCTTATATCCTGAGATGGAGTTTATTGAAGCCACCAACGAAATAATCGAATTCAAATGACGCGAAAAAGTTAAATGAGTTCATAGAGCGCAAAGATTTTTTCCCGTGAAGGAATCGCGTTTCGTCGAGTTTTTGATAAAAAGGTAGAGCCACTGATTTTATTACGAAGTGAGTTGGTCCGGAGAAAGAAGTACAAACTCAATAAGTATTTGTTGCACGTTTGATTGGGTGTTTTTGTGTTACCTCCGGGTTTTCTTACAATGCAATCAAAACGTATATACGCTCTTTCGGCTGGAATATAGAACCGCCGACTGAAAGATCATTGCAGATATTTCAATTGTGATATATTGGGGTCTATGTGACCTACATGAGAGAATTGAGCTGGCTGTATTTGATTTCATATCTCCTGAAGTACATTTTTTCGAAAAATTCTACAAAATTACTGCTGGTGTCAAAATTCCACCTTAATTTGAATGGTCTAAATAACTTGGGGCAAACATGTTATTTGAAAAGCGTTCTACAATTCATTTTCATGAAGAAATCTTTCCCGTATGAAGTAATTTTATTTAACAAAAACTTTTCTGAACTATTCCTCAAGATACAAGAACTTTTCGTTTCGTTGCAATTTTCAAACAGGGTTTCACTTTCTCCTTTACAAATTTCAGAATTGTCAAGAGCACACTGAGAAAAACTGGTTAATTAAAACGTCTAGTTGGTATTTTTTTAGTACCGATAATTAAAAATATTTGGAATTTTATTAACAATGACAACGTATCCTTATTTCCTACAAGTGACTTTTCTATTTTTCGCCAATTATTTGTCATCAATAAAAATACTATTTGTGACAGAATTATCACAGTGTTGTCTATTCAGTCAATTAAACTTTTATATAGGGGTTAAAAAACCTCATTCTGGGGTTACTAACAACAGCTGACTATTTGCCACAACTGATGACACATTTATCGTAAAAGGTTTATTATTATTCATAGCAGAAATTGTTTAGCCATAACTGATAATTTTAGTTGTACTGCGTCGTTCGGGACCGCCTCGCGTCTCTTCGGGACCCACCGGCAAAAATTGCATCTTGCATCTGTTTGTCTTTCTGTTTCATCATTTGAACTTGTATCTTAATAGTGGGTAGATCGCACGGTCGTCGAGCTTAGACAAAATAAATAAAATAATTGTCTAGTGTAGCCGGGAGCGTCGTGTTCTTGCTGGTTCACTGCTCTGTGTGTTTTCAAATCACTGTTTTGTGTTTTTTTGCACTTCGCGCTGAGCCATTTGGCATTTGGTTGGCAAAATAATAATTCGCAGTTGACCATCGTTATCTGTGCGTCACTAGTTATCAGGTTTAGGTACCTTTTCACAATTCAGTTCAGTTTACGACGGGCGACGGTGAGAAACGTCCAACCGACGTCACGTGTACACGGTGTATATTTATAATTCCCTCTCTTTTTGCTGAGCTGTGGCCTGTGGCACTTACGGTGTGTGGTGTATTCCTGTTCACGATTCCATTGGAAATTGGAAGGGAAATGGCATACAAACTGTTATTATTAGAATGGGGCCTTGATTTTAATTGATATAAAACTATTAAGTTGCCAGAATAACTAAATTATATTTCAAACGTTACTAAATCACTTTTAATAGTAACTAGATTCCATTTCAGTCACAATTGAATATTTAATTTGCAACAACACACTCACTTTTAACGTCAGAAGAAATGAGTAATTGCCCCAACTGGGTTAATTTGTTGTGATAACAAACATATATTGAAACAGTACTAACAATCTAATTGTCATAACTATGTATCTTGATTGTGACAAATAAAACTTGGTATTATTCCTTAAAAAGGCTTATTAGTTACCACAACAACGTTGTAGATTACTCAACTAAACTTTTCATTTGAGGCAAATAGGCGTTTCCAGAAAAACAGAATTAGTTATGGCAACAACTAATGCTTGCTGTCCCCTATCGTACTAAAAAATGCTTCTGTAGTTACTAATTTTTTAGTAACGGCTACAAATTTTTTCCCTCAGTGCACCTGATTTCTTCAGCATGACAGCTCTGAGTTTTTGGGCTTCTTACTCAACAAACTACAAGATCAAGAGAATACCTCCAACTTTTCTTGTCATTTCTCTGAAGAGAAAGGAGAAGCTTTCACAACGCTGGTGCAAACTTTTTTCAGCAGCAAGATGTTGATTGTTCCAAGATGTTTGGTTTGTGGAACGAAGAGCGATCGTGTCGATCTATTTAGGGAGTTGCAACTGTCCTTCCCCAACACCAACTACTCTGAGAATCAGACCGTGCAGTCGATGCTGGTCTACTACTTCAAGCCGGAGAAATTGGCCGAAGATAACCAATGCTACTGCGAGATATGCAGTCAATTGACCGTCAGAGAACACATAACCAAGATCATGGCGCCGCCTCTGAAGCTCTTCCGGTACGATCCTTCCTCGCACCAGAGTATCAAGATGCAACATTCCATATGTCTTGACGAGCAGCTTATTATCGACAGCTGGATTAACCAGCTTTACGCGGTTGTAATCCCCTGTGGCTCAAGTGTCGATAGCGGCCACTATTTCACCATCTCCAAAGACAAGAATGACTGGTACCAGTTCAATGATGGCTCCGTATCTAGAACTTCGTCTGAGAAGCTATCTTGACTAAGATCCCCCGAAATGCCATACATCCTCTTCCATCGCCGTGATGATGAATCTAAGTGGGAGAGCCTTTCTCCTACCCCCTTCCTCTTAGACTACAAATGATTTTGGATCTGGACCATCTTGAATTTAACAAGTTCCAGCAATAACAGCAGCATCCCATTAATATGTTTCATCTTTATATCGATTCTTGCAAAAATTAACTTCTTATTTCTAATATATATATAGAAATGCACGCATAATAATAAAAATTTGATGGACGAACTATAAAATCGTTTTCAAAAATCAACTGTCTCCAGTCAATAAAACAATATAGTGATATAAATAGCCGAGGCGCCGAATTGTCCCAGTTGTCAGCAGACCAAGAGCGGCTGATGAGGCCTATATGGTGAATCAGAACAGTACTGTCTCGCTCTTGCTGACAATTGGGGTATTGATCATAGATCTCTCAGTTGAGAGTCCTAGAAATATGCTATGCGTTGATCCTAATGTGATACAGAATTGAAATGAACTTCTTGGGCTCTCTAGTTTCGTAGTTGTTTGTCTATGGAATCAAATTTCAAACAACTTCATCAATTATTTCGTCTATTGTATCAGCAATCACAGCACAAAAGAGATTACACAAAAATATATCAATTAAATTGGCAAAGGATTGAACAGTGATTCGATTATATCGCTTACAGAATCGTAGTATATGACCAATTAGGTTGGGAACAGTCAGAAGTGATCTGGAAGCGTACACCGAAAATTGCACTATAAATTATTGTCATTGTGGAATCAGTGACAGAGAAAGGTGGCCTGGCCGCGACAATATTTATCAGTGACAGTGCATGTAAATTGTCGTTATTTCTAGCCAAGGAGCGTGATTTACAGCATGAGATTTACCTTGTAAGTGCCCAAGTGATTAACAACGCATGTAAAATAGACGTCCCTTCCCTGAGTGACTGTGTGATTCTCCAAGGGGGCCAGGAATTCGGGTTCCAATTCCGTTAGCTGACCTGAAACAAGAGGAAAATCATTATATACTGGGTGTTTCGCATTTTTTTTAATGTTCTGGTTCTCACGAAAAGGGATATCTTGAAATGTTCACAGAATATCGTGAGAACCAAGGGAAATAAGGTAGGAATTGGTGTTCTTCTCAGATTTCTGAAGGTTATATGCCTCGGAAAACACCTCTCTCGGCAATGTGTTTCAGAGCCTCGCAGTTCGTTGGATGAACGAGTCTTTGGAAAGAGATGTTATGCAGGTCCACGACCACGAAGCGGTGCGAAGCCTCAACTCGACGGGTTAATCTCGCAAGGACTGCCAAGGAAGGAACAATCGTTAATATTTCAGGAGAGAATCGTCCGTGAAGATATCTATAAAATAGAGCCAGATCTCCAACTTTTTTTCGGTGTTCCAGAGATGTGAGTGAATTTGTGAGCGAGGCATCACCCACGAGACGAATTGCCCTTTTTTGGACAGAATCCAACAGTTTCAGGGTATGTTTTGGTGCTGCACTTCAAATATGGGAACAGTATTCCAGGACAGGTCGGATCTGAGCCTTATAGATCATGAGCAACTGACTGGAAGTGTAATAGCTCCTGGCCCGAAACAGAAAACCAAGTTTTTGGGATGCACTCTTAGCAATTGATCTCACGTGATTTTCTCTAAAAAGGTTATTGCTGATAGTAATACCAAGCATCGAAATGGATGTCTTCAAAGGTATGGTTACTCCTGACAGGCTCATGTTGGGCACAGTGAGATCGGCGTTCCCAGAGAAAAAGCATGCTTGTGGTTCGCAAACACTTTTCACAATTATGACACTTGCTGCCCCAAAACATGTCAGGATTTCGCAAAAAGGCATCGGTAGTTAGGTTACTCATACGGTTACCTATTATACGAATCTCTTATGCTCAATGTCTCAATCTCATTAAATTGAGCTCAAAAATAATCATCTGACTGCACCATTACATGATATGATCAGCTACGTCACGGAAATAAAATATCAGAACATGAGTGGAATATTAGGTGAGAGATTAGTCAGGTGGAACAGTTTTTCCCTCAATATACCAGGAAAGCTAGCTCCCGAAAGTACAATGAAGAGATCCATTTACATAAACATTGACAATTAGTTTTTGTCATATTAATTTTCCTGGTAAAAGTTTAACTTCGGTAGGGTTATATGATCGGAAAATTTCGAAGTTTTCCGATAATTATTCCATATTCAATATTTTTTAGCACTTCTTGTTCCATCAACACATTAACATACCTTTGGAATATCGAAAGGAACTATCTAAATGCATATCATTCATTTTCTGATTCTGATGACACTTTTGAGTAGGATCAAGGAGTTATGAGAAGAAATTAGCATCATTGATCCTACTTGATTACCTGAAAAAAAAAAATATCCCCTTTTTTCTTCTCAACGTCCCCATATATATTCCAGTTACAAGTCTAAGAACCAAAACATTTGAACACATAAGTGGAAATTTTGTCGAATCCTCTGGTATTCCAACCAAAATAATCTCTGGAAGGAGTTAAATATCCATACCCTCGGGACCAGTGACTAACTCAACGATGAAAACTGAATTACTGATTGTTATGATTCAAGTCGAGTTCTGATATGATGCAAATATACAAAGGGTGACATTGCTCGCAATATGCCAGAGCAATCACACCACATGTTTCGCTAACACGGTAGCTCCATCAGGTGAAACACTGGTACAATGAATTCCATTGTTTTTGAAGTTTTCACATTTGTTATGGATTTCCAACAAGTACCAACAGGTAGATAAGTCTATTTAAAAACGATCTAACCCATCACAACCAGAGTTGTCTATAACTCTATGAGGAAAATATGGAGTTAAAACTGGTTCTCTCTAAGAAAATTGACTTTAATCTGGATCCATGTTCTCACGATGACATACATCAACAGTTAGCGTTCTTCAAGCACGTAAATCAATCATCAAATCTATAGATAGATAGATAGATATATACTTTATTGTCCAAAAATGAATTCTCATTGACAAAGTAATATCTGTGATATCTGTTCTCGAGGTAAGACCTAAACCAGTTGAGACATGCTCCTCTGATTCCATATCGGTGCATTTTTCGCAGCAGTATTCCATGATTAACACAATCGAAGGCTTCTGAAAAATCACGAAATACTGCTGCAATGGATTCTCCTTCATTCAAATTCATGTAAGCCTTTTCCAAGAATGAGAAAATTGCGTCATCAGTATTTTTTGAATTCTGAAACCCGAATAGAGATTCATTTAGTACATTTTCATTGGATAGAAATTGTTCTGTAAAATAGCTCCAAAGAATAGATTTCCCAGCAGAGTAGTACAACATGCATTTATCGAAAATGCGAATTTATACACACTAAAAGCGCACAGGGAACAAAGTTAGTCATGAATATGGAACTGGAGGGTGGAAAGTAATTCAAAAGTCAATCTTTCAGCAACACAACTGACTGGAATACGGGATCCAAGGAGACCCGACATCGGCTTCTTGCTACTTGACCTGTAACGAAACGAAAAGATAACTGCATAGACTTGCCAACTATATAAGTGAAGTGAACTGAAGATATTCACGAGTATAATCTGCCGAAAGCGAGCCGTGGACGTGTTCGTTGTACAGAATTGCCGACGGAGTACAGCACAAGAATTCAAATACTCCGAAATGTCACATTCTGTAAATGGGACTGATTCACATCGGAATGTTATTGAATATTTAACTCGAATAACCATGCGTTGAGAATAATTCACAGGTGATGTAGACTCAGAAAATAGCCCTTCTATTCAATTCACGGCATTGTTGCACATACATGCAGATCTTTATGTTCCCTATATGTATAGGCCACACACTAGGAGTTTTTCAACGCTCAGTCGGATCAAAAACTTGAGAAGTGCTATGTTTCCCAATCTATACATGAAATATTTTCAGTCCTCCAGCTGTAGATACAGGGTTTGCCAATAGTCAGCATCACCTTCCTCGATTTTCACACCTTAGGATTGGCCTTTTGATTCTGATGAATTAGGACAGTCAAATTCATGAAAGCTCATCTCATCGTTTCAGATATATGTCGATTTTTCTTGAATCAATCACAGTCGTAGTAGTTCAGAAATATGAAGGTCCAGGCCATCTCCTGATGTTCATCCATGGCCCTATTTCCTACCATATGGACGTGGGCGATTTTCGAATGTGGCAATGAAAAATTGCCGAAAACTTAATTATACAAGTCTTTAATTCAACTGCAAGTGTAATGTGTTCTCAACGTTCTTTCATCAGAATTCTGATTTTCAGCGACAGTTATACAGGGTGCCCATAAGTCATGGATCAAAAGTAGTGGAGTGGTAGGGAGGGGGTCATTTGGAATCAAACTAACGGTATATGTGGTTATCAAACTGTTGATGATTCAAAGGGTATTAAATTTTCTGAATATTCAATTAAATGACAAAACTTGAGGAAAATAACATTTTCCTCAGGTAATTGATAAGAAGTAACACATGTTATGAAACTATTTCTGGGAAAAGGTGCATCATTGTGGATGAAATTTATGAAAAAAAATCACAAATATGACATAGATTTTTTGTTATTAAGATGGAAGGAATATTGAGGGAACTGTTTTGAGCAAACTAGGAAAAGATTATTGGACATAGCCCTCAGGAAGAGTCAACCGTAGACACGTGTTTTGGGCTTTTGGCCCTCATCAGTACGGTGAAAGAAGTGCAAAAGATAGGCTACACATGATGGAAGACGAAACAACAAATCGACGGCTTCTGTTTGTTAACTCCACATCAATTCAATAATCATATTGCATGAATAGGTCCTACCAAAACTTCCTTTACTCACTCATGGAAGGAAATCTTGATTTCAACAGATATTTCTTGATTATCTCAGTACGTACTGATCGACGCAAGATTTGATTAATTTGAAACATGAAGATTATTTCATTGTCAAGTTGATCTCCTATCATATTTAAGCAATTTTGTTTTTGAATCAAGAAATGTTGAGCTCATTACAAATTCATGATGTCTTATTACAGAAATTGCATGTTTTTTCAGAAGTTCTTCATTTTCTTGTGCCAAAAGATTCTTATTTTGAAGGAAATGGAATGAAGCTTACTATTGAAGTATTGAACACTTCATTATCAAAAACTTGCCATCCTATTATGAAAAAACAAGAATGAAAACATGTACATAATTCTAAAATCATCAAATACTGATCTGTAGGTCTACTAGGAAGAATATTCATTTCTCTAGATTTTCTATCCCCATCTCTTGCCCCAAAATGTCAGTGACAACCTAGAGGTGAAATTCTTATTCAACATAGCCAGGCATTGTCGAGAACGAATGAAATTTAAAGAAAATCTGATCTTTCCTGGTTACAAGAAATTCTGCGTTTGACGAACGAGCATGTATTATGAACTCTCACCAATATTCAACTTTTTCATTATAGGTATAATCATTCTAATCAAGAAACGAGTAAAAATACACATTGAATGGACAATAACATATTTGATATATCTGTATACTGAAGAGTCTGTAAAAACGATCGATTTAGAATATAGAGATACACGAAGTGAGATGACCTGTTTGAAAGAAATTTTCTGTTACACATGTTATTGAGGCAGATTAGAGAACTCTTCCTAGTTTTTCGATGTATTGTTGTAACCCTGTATATTCCTGATATGGGTTGGGACATGGGATCACATAAAATTAAATCGACTTGTTCGAGGGTTTTTGGGAATACTCAATATCATATCAGTAAAACATGATTATTGAATTCGTTTCACACTTGAGTATTATATTGTATAAAATTCTCCCTGAATTATAACTGCATAACAAACAAATCCGCTAATCGTGAACTAATCAGCCAAACTAATTTGGGGAAATTGTATTATCAATAATTAAATAATAATTGCATCAAATCTGGTTCACATAATAATCGAGTCATTGTCAGAAAACATGTATCTACCCTATATTCACGTACCAATAGACCGATTATTTGCTCAAAGGAGTTTTTGACCTCTTCAACTGAGGCGAATTATCTTTAGTGAAAAATAAATTCCAGATCATGATCCCCTGAATGGCTGATTCGTCCTAAAGATTTATTCATTAAAATCTTGTTTCTAGAGCTATATACATCCAGGATGGATCGTTTTAAGTGCGCCACCCGGTTCATATTTCTCTTCTCTGTAAAAATCCTGTGATCTTCGAGTATTTCACAGTCTAGTGGAAGCGATGCTGAATTATCCCATCGATTCCGTCTCTAGCTAGCATTCCCTTCATTGTCATCCCATTCCAATTAATGATCCACAACAACGAAATGTCATCCATACAGAGCCGAAGGAAATATCCCCGGTTTTTTTTTTCTCAATCGGCATTCACACAAGCGGAACAACTTTACGAGCGCACGTCAACCATTGGAACAACAAGAATCTAATATTCCTTGTGTTGAGCTTATTACCTCAAATACCGTGAATACCACACCATTGTATGTTTACTGGGCTTTCTTTATTGCTGTTCAGTCCCAAATAACATGTAAATTTGGGGTTGCCATAATATCAACGAAGAAATACTCAGATATATAATCATCGCAATGCAGTCTTAAAGCACAACGGCAGAACACAATGTTTTCATTTTCGTCATGAAAATGAAATTCTGGAGACGATCGGCTAATTTTTATCGAGTAGTTATGTATTCCGAGATGAACTGAACGAAACGAAAACAGTATGTACAGTGCTAGTTTTATTAATATGAACCCCTCTTAATCTATTTTGTTTTCCACCCAAAAACAAAAATACAGATTTTATACAATTATTTTTCATATAGGTTCCAATCATAGTAACAGTTTGCAATATCTCTTCAAATATACAGGGAATTCAGAAAATATATATAATTTTTGAATGGAATGCGCTGTGTATTTTGATAGATATGAATCCCTCATCATTTATTTGAAATCAGGATGAATTGAGGAATCCTAATCTATCAAAATATGCGACGCATTCCATTTGAACAAAATATATTTTTCTGTATGTCATGTATATTTGACAATTTGAGTGAAATCTGTATGTAAAATTGTATGAAATTATAGCTTCAAGTTTTTTTGAATGAGTGTAAAATGAAAAACTAGCCCTGTACAGTTCCAATTATATTCAGTTATATAATTATTTATTAATTACAACATTATTGAACAGGGTGTTTCTCGAGTGCGTGTAGAAAATTCAAAAGCATGTTGCTGACGCCAAAATGAGAATAAATAAACATGTGCCCGCAAGTAATTCGTTTTTGACATACAGAGTGTCAAAGTCTGATTCCTGTATCTGTTTTTTGTTAATAAATTTCAAAATAATCGTGATAATCGAGTGAAATGTGATTTTCAATGATGAAATCAAATTTGAAGATGGTTTGTCCCTTTCGTGAGGGTGGCGCCACATAAGTCTTTTCAGTCATTTGAAATGTCATAACTTTTTTGTATATACCTGTCACATTTTCTAGTTGAAAAATTGAAATTCCTCAAACATTTTTGAGGAAAAAGATGCACAACATTTCATTTTTCTCGTAAGCCATTTGTGACATATCAAGTTGAACAAGTCATTGCTAATTATTTCAGAACCTTGCTCACATTGAATGAAGTTGTAGGTATTTATTTGTGGTGTCACAATAATAGTTCTGACCTGTATGTATTAAATATGGTGGATAACGATCCACCATCAAAATTTTAAATGTCTTGTCAAAGCCAAATACTTCTGAAAATCACAACTTTCTCAATCATGTTCGTTAGTCCTTCGAATTCGATTGTTTTATGTCTTATAGATACAGGGTGAGTCATAACTACTGGGACATAGGCTGAGGATTGTTCGGACCAAAATATGGCGATAGGACCAAATATGCATTAATAAAATACTGCTGGGGAAAAACATACAGGGACTTCCAATCGAAAGAGTATTAACTATATACTCCCACCAAAATTTGCTTTATGACAAGGAATGTCATCCACCAGCACCCATCATCTAATCGTCCAAAGCATTCATAAATAAAATAATATCTGACATCACCTTCCGAGACTTTCAAATGTTCAATTATGTTTTTCTCGAAAACGGATGAGGATATCATGTTCATGATCGTACCTATAATACGAAGAAATGGTGTTTACGTTATATTATCTAATCGACATCACTAAGAAGTTTCTTCAAAAAAGTCTATTTCATCATCAGGAATCATTCAAGTGGCGCCCCCTGTAACAAACTGTAGAATAATACATGTGATAGTATTCCCTTCCCTGTACAAAATTATGCCTTTGTGCCAATTTTGATAATAATTGATACATATACAGTGAAATTGAAAAAAAAATCTTTGACTTTAACGCCCTGTATCTTTTTCCACTGCAATATTTCATTGAGGCATATTTGGTCCTTTCGCTATATCTTGGTCCAAATAATCCGCACTAGCCTTTTTCACAATAGTTCTGACTCACCCTGTACTGAATAAACCATTTGGAAGTATTGATGTAATACACGATTCTTTTCAATACCCATAATACATCGACTGGTGTCAAGAACATGTACAGCATGATTTTTGTTTTTCAAAAATTGGTAACCCGAATATTAAATGATTGTATTCGTTGCCTATGTTCCACACTGTTTGAAACGATCAATAGGAGGATGAAACAGGAACGATCTAGCGATTCTACCGTTCTCAGATTCCAAAAAAGAGTGTCAGAATCGGAATCTGGGTAAAACTATTTACAGTTTTGGTGAAGGAACTTTGGTGGAGGAGCTTTGGTGGAGGAACTTTGGTGGAGGAGCTATGGTGGTGGTAATAATTCGCCTTTTTTATACAATGTACATGATAAAACCATTATTATCTTTCACCTGCTTTGGGTGGTCATGTAAAAAAAATCAAAAACTAGTTTTTGATCGAAGAGTTGGGTATCTTCTGAAGAAAATATATGTGATGATTTTAAATAGTGAATAACTGTGTCAAGACGTACTTTCAATACATGGAATGATCAAGATAAAATAGAAATATGGCATAAATTCGACCCCAAAATTGGAAATAGTGATAGGGCGAATAATTTGTAGAAGATTCTTTCGTGGATTGGGAATCCCGATTATTGAGATTTATGAATCATAAGATTAAGGAAAGACACTTGGATCTATAATTGGGAATCCATGGTGGGTTCAATTCAATGGTGTAGGAAATTGAGGAGTTATAGGTGAAAATTCATCAACATATTGTTAGACATGAATATTTCTGCTGAAAGAAGGTCATGTTTGAGCATGAATGTTCAGTATGGAAGGAGAGAATAATTGTTCAATTGTTCTGTTCAGCTACCAAATCACTCAAGGTGATAGAGCATGGTGATTCAGAGTACACCAGGCTTCCTTCAAAACGTGCGACAGTCCATGATCAGAAGATGTCAATTATGTATTGAACAAAATGGAGGTCCGTTTGAACATTTGCTATGAATTTAATTCTTGTATTTCCTTTAGCGCATAAATATTTCATGCGCCAAATAATCTATTGAAATAATTGAAATTTGTTACTGTTCGTATTTATAACGTTGCCATGATTTTCCTCAATTGAAAACTGTTGTTTCAATAGCTTGATGGTTCTGACGAATTCAAGATGGCGTACGACTATCAACCTCGAGTTTGTCGATTCATTTCTGACTCGCCCACACAATGTTTTGAATTTTTTCGACATTCAGAAATATTCTGGAGGTTGAACAGTAATATGGATATCTATACGCAGCAAATAAGACCTCTACTCAATATTACCTCAAAGCATGTTTCGAGTTTTTGGCAAATATCTCCGGAACTTCTTCATTCAGGCTTGCAGAATGTTATTACTTCGAGTTTGAGTATTGATGATCATTACTGATGTCATCCACTAATTTAATAATCCATCTATCTGAGAAAAATTTCGAAGGAGAATGTGGCGACACACGACCCTTACTATGCCACTGGTTGACGGAATGCAGAAATGAAAACTTTCTGTGATCACCCTGATTCATCTGGATTGGCATACCAAGTTTCAATTTTTTTGCTACAGGGGTTCTGGAGATATTTTGAGAAATCTTAGGACATACGTCGATGGAAATTTTTCACCTCGAAATGAGGTGTACGAAGTTTGTCGGTCTTATATTGACTCACCCTGTATACGACAAACCAAGGAATAGCCGATAGGTACATAATGGATTCGGATTTTTTTCAGTGAGATTGCTTTAACCCTCAGGAATTAGATGCCAGAGTTTGATTGTTCGTCATCCTGATAATCGGATAAGCTATATAGGCCCTGGTTCCGTTCCTGATTCAGCTTCAGCTTTGTTCTAACGACATCAGCTTGCACGCGAGACATAGCGACGGGTAAGGCCGATTGCCAGACCCCATTGTTTTCCTGGTGAATGCATCATTTTTTAGCGAAACTTAGCCTAAACATTCGCCAAACAACTGATAAGCGCGTATAAACTGTGACACAGCTGTCCACGATTCCTTTTATTATGGAAACGAACGGATTTGAAACATGAATAAGGAAGTTCGGACATGTGTAGATAGAATGAGGCAAAAGTACGCACGGGGCGAAATTCCTTATTCACATTCGAAGCAAAAATAACTACAATTTGACAACACGGTGAGTATTAGTAGCCAGTGTATTTTCAAACAGTGATGGAGATAAGTAGCATACTCGGCCATTTTTACGTATTGAAAACTTGAGAAAAATCACTCGACCGCTTACGATTTCTCTACGTCAGATCGAGCAAGATGTTGAATCTACTTTTATCCGCTAGATGGTGATGCTGCAATTGCTGCTGTGAGGAGTGTGAGGAGGTTTATTTCACTCAGAATTCTAAAGATCTACGGCAACTGGTTCTTCAATTGGATATCCGTAGTGGGTTGGATAAGATAAGGCACTGCAAAAAATGATTGTGAAATTCCGTGATAATTACTGTATGTGTCACAGTATATATTCATGAATTTTATTTTTCCTGGATATTCAACGCATTATTTCCGGAGTCTGAATTCTATCTTCTATTGATACTGTGATTATGAAACTCTTGTGAATTTTTTCAAGGAAGACGTTTACTTCTCCGTGATTTCCGGATTCAAAACATGAATGAGGAAGTTCGGCCATGTGTAGATAGAATGAGGCGAAAGTACGCACTAGGCAAAATTCCTACTTCACACTCGAGGCAGAAATAACTACAGTTTGACATCATGGGACGCGAACCAAGTATTAGTAGCTCAGATTGTTGATCTGAGATTAGTAGTCAGTGTGTTTTTAAACAATGATGGAAATAAGTAGATGGTGCGCGTACTCGGCCATTTTTACGTATTGAAAACTTAGGAAAAATCACTCGACCGCTTACTATGATTTCTCTACTCTTTTTCGCTGGATGGTGATGCTGCAATCGCTGCTGTGACGAGTGTGAGGAGGCTTATTCCACTCGAAATTCGAGAGGTCTGCGGCAATTCAAAAATTGACAGCTGTCATAATTGTGCAATGTCGCCATCTATTATGAGATCGCTGAAACCATTGTTCTCAAGAGGTCGAGAAAAATTTTTGAAACAGAAGCGCATCAGTAAATACACAATCAACGTATTTCTATCATTTTTCAAACGCAGGTGAAACGGCAGACCGCCATCATGTGGTAAATCAGGTATTCAAACGTTCGCATGTAAGTTTTACACCAGGCAATTTGACGTCGTGTGAGCATGTCTGCGACGTTTCGTTGACATAATTTCATCTAGAAAATCCTTGTCATGTTAAGATTCATACGATGAATTTGTATGCATATATCCAAATGTCATACCCTTCGCAGAAATCAGATATCTCTAAAATGTAAAATAATTTCGAGAAGGAATTATGATATTCTTCAGATGAATGGATATGAAGATTGAAATTAACAGAATACTCAAAAAACTGAGAAAAGAGAAGATAAAATTGATGAAATTGTTGACTGTCCTGCTTGTGTAGAAGAATACATAGATCCGCCAATAAGAGACTGGTTCGAATATGGGAGCTGATCTGAAAGGTGGCGAGCAGTGTACGGCCTCTGATAATAAAGGCCCTTTCATCTTTGATGTTTGTGTTCATTGAAGATATTGAGAGTTTGCCTCATCATGTTGATAGTAGTTTTGCCCCACTAGAGGTAAAAATCTCTCTTTAAATAAGTGTTGTTTCATTGTTACAAATAGTTGGTTTTATATTCATGTAATGGATGTGGATATCATGTGTATTCGAGTCTAAAGTGCGTCGTTTTGCCTCAAGCTACTATAGAATGGCATACGAGAATGATTGTTTCTAGAAGATCTACAGGCAATATTGCCGCAGTTAATGTATCGTCAGGGAATCATCTCAAATCGCGGGGTCTGCAGTTCCATGAAAACAATGTTTTATTTATTGACGATCTCCAGACTTGAGACCCACGATGTTCTCCCAAGAAATCTAATCAGCTCTGCTCATAGAACACAGAATAAGTCATTTTTTTGTAGCAGTGGGGTCCATCATGAATCAACAATATGTGCGTGTATGTATGGTTACTGCCTGCGTTTTCGATATACAGGGTGTCAAAGTTTTATATACTTCGTTGTGTTCTTTGAGTTTTCTCATACAATTTTCAAAATGGATAATTGAAAAAATTAGTATATCTATTAATTTCTGAACTTCATATAACATTTATCAATGATTGACTTGAGAGCTTTCATGAGGTTTTGATCTTCTCCAGCCTAAGAGGTCCTACAAAACAAGGAGATACATCATAACAAGAATATAAACATTATGTTACATTTCAGAGGAAGCTCGCCCTCCTTGTTCTACGACTATGATTTTGGTGTTATGTTCGTCATATGTCAACATCCACTGGTATAGTCCTGAACAGCATCTTGTTTGTTATCTTGTGTAGCTCTGTCATTAGGCTGTATGTCATAACTGATGTTTGACTACTGACAGCTGATGGTTTGACATAATCAGACATCTCGTGCCATGAGCTGACGATTTTGACGTTCCTTCCTGAACAAGATTACGTTCTGGAAGTGAGTCGAAATTTTTTCCTCAATGTATCTTCTAGAGAGCCATTCAAAAAATATGAATTTTTGATTGAAATGTGATGTGACCGAAATGATGCATCGATAAGTGTCACAAAAATTAATTTATCAGAAAAAATATGTCTCTAGTATGTGCCACTCATTGTGCCTTGACCAAATCTCATTTGATCACGAGGTGGGATAAGGAAACAATTTTCATTAATCTGTTTCTGAATATGGAATATATATTGGAAAGGAATATTCTCAGATATATTTATGAACACGAAAAAAATGGATATATAATTAAAGAAATTCATTGAGAATTCGCATTCTCCATATGATGAAAATATTAATTCTTTCTCGGTTTATTCAACAGAAAAGAACTACTTTCCTGGCTATATGCCACGACGAATATTGAATTACATCTATCAAACACACACGATAAGAATTTGAAAACAAAATCTCCTGAAGTAGAGAATTTGCATTCTCCCTCATATAAAGATGTGCATATATATAATCTCATTCTGAATATTCATCAGAAAACAACTGATTTCCTGGCTATTTTCCGTGTCGAACATTGAATTAAATCTGTTGAATATCCAAAAAAAGAGCATGAAAAATCAAAATCCTCTGAAAAAAATTAAATATATACTTGAATATGTGAGAATATAGAGGGTGTTCCATTCAGAGAAACAAAGTAGCATTTTCAGAAAAACCAGAAGTCCGCCATATTGGATTGTATGATGTGATCAAATTCGAAATGGTTGCTCACATAACTGTGAAAAATCCGATGACGAGTGCAGAAGTTACAGGGGTAGCTCGATACCCTGTGTCACTTGTGTGTTGAGGACATTTTGAATTATTCGTCGGGGACAGTTATTGTGTGAAGTTGGAGTCTCGTAATTCTGTCAGTTGTGAGATAGGAACCTGTCACTTGTCAATTATCTCTTCAAGAGTTCATGGTGATCAGAAAGATTCAGTTTCTCGAAATGATACCCCATTTCTTGGGAGAAAATGAATCTGAAATCAATGAATGAGAGTTATGCAATGAGCACAGCTGATAACCATCAGCAAGCAGAAATTTCCCTTATGGATTGAAACCAATACAATCGGAAATATAGTTTGATGTTCAAGAAAGTATACATATATGGATGAAGAACTCTTTCATGAACTCCCACAACCCAAATATCCTCGTGAATAGAGTGGAGTTTATGAAACTTATGAGATTATCACGAGTAACAATCTGATTATAAGGTGTAATCCTGAAACAACGCGGTGTTGACGGTGAAACTTATAAGTATGAGCCAACTAATCATGATATTCACAAGTTTAAAAACTTCATCTCCTGCTGAAGAGATATGCGGATAACCAAACTCAATATATCAGAAATGGTACCTACCAATATCCTCATTCCAATAACTGTGGGATTTGCGATAGGGAGAAGTGAAGTTAACAAAAATTATAATTATATTAATGGCATTCACATTATATCCATCCTTGAAAATATGTGTGAAAGTATTCTCGCATGAGTCTCACTTGCATTGTTCATAGTTCTGAATCATTTGAATTCAACTCATTTAGACTTGGCAAAAACTCCAATATCTGGATACAGGCGGATAAGTGGAAACGGGAAAAATACATTCAGCTTCCCTCCAGCGGGAAGAAATAATTCCACGATCAATTCAACAACCGTAAAATACGAACACTTCTCACTCGGGAAAGTGGATTTCCAAAAACGAAACAACTTAGTTATATGGACTATAATATCTTTCCAGATTTATATGGGGAGAGTAAAAATAAAAGCAATTTGATACTGATGCCATACGCTCTTCAGGCGAAATTGTATTTTATGCGAACCTCAACAAAAGGGGAGAATGAAAAAATATTTCGCACCTATAGCCGAAAGAGCACGCGTGAATTCAAAGAAATGCAATCTCACGACATATTTCCATCGGCTCTCAGCAAAAAACATTCTTGAAAAATTCATACATTCCATTTGCTAGAACATATCAATACGTCTAGTTTTAACTAACGACTCAGGTATGAAGAAAACTATTCATTCGATAAGCACATCTTACTTACATCTTCATAAAACAATATTTTCAACTTAATTTTCCACGTAGCTATCATGTGTTTCACAACTCTTAGGCCAGCAGATAACTGACTTTTCCAAAAAACACCGAGTCCAAATCAACCCACTAACAGCAGCTCTATAACATTGTATTCTGGAATTGCATTTTCATGAAGTTCTCTATCCAACATTTCTCGAAATTGAATAATTTTGGCACCATCATTGATCCTACTTCTTATCAATCATCTAATGCGTTCTCTTCTAGAATTCCTATTCCTTTCCAGGAAACTAAGAGCTTACGA